ACCGTTTATAAGTTATGGCCAAAGTAAAAATTTGGTATTTTTGTGTAAAATGGGACAAACTCCAAGGTAAAGGTCAAAAGGTCAAATTTGGTGGTACCCAAAGTAAGGTTTTGTCACAAGGAATACACATATTAAAAATGAAAGTCATAGCTCCAATAAATGAAAAGTTAAGGTCAAGGTTAAGGTTTTTGCGGACAAACAAACCGCCAGATAGACAGACGGACGTACAGACGATCACGATAAAACTATATACCCCCGAATCTTCGATTACGGGGACATAAAAAGAAGGGGTATTTGTCATAAAGGGAATATGAAAAATCACAAAAATACTTCTTCAAACATCGCCGTTTATTTTATTAACATAATAATATTAAACAATATTTTTTCAAGAATAATTTCTTTTTTATTCAATTAACATAAACGATAAGTCCACCATTAAAAAAATAAGCAAATGAACTCTATTATTTTTAGTCAATTATGCACCCTACATTTGTAAATGTTTTTTAGAAGTCTTTGTCACAATGTTTTCAATCTTCAATATGATGAAGAACATAGCCAAATGATTACAAAAAGTGATTAAAATATATACCTTTCCCCTCTAACTAATGAAAGATAGGCTATTTACCGATACTCATATTCTTGACCTAGCTTTTTGCACTTACACGGGATCTAATAATTAAATGTCTGTTTGGGGTTACTTTCAGATTAAATATTTATCAGAAATTGTACTTTTACTTTAAAAAGATCATATTTAATAGAAAAATTGTAATCAAACACCAAGAATATGAATAGGTAACAAATAATTGTTAAAAGGAATGCACATCATCTCATTATAGATATCACAAAAATGTACACACGATCAAACGATCTATAACACGTACATCTTTGACTTAGACACATTTCATCAAGATGTTACACTATATAGCTGGCAACTAAAGATTTCTTACCATTTATGCATTCCTTCAAAATGGTTACATACCATTCAAATTATTACGAAAGTTGTATGTACATTGTAATTTCATTACACTAGATAGTCTTGGGTTTGTCAACTTCAGGTCTAGATCTAGTAAATAAAAGGAGCCTACATATTTTCTCTTATACCAGAAATATATTGCCATTAAGAATTATAAACCAAAATATATATGAATTGAATTAAGATTATGTTGGCATGATTGAATTCTGTGAATTTCAAATGCAGTATTTTCTACCATTTCTATTGAAACTGTCAAGTACAGGAAAAAATGGCACTGAATTAATTATGACGTCTTAATGGGTTAGCACAGGTTAAACACATTAACCAGTTATGATGTCATACGAAGTAGGTTCTACGTTAAAAGAAATGTAATGAATACTGTGTGCTAAATCAAAAGTTTATGTCTACATGTATAGTTTTTGCATTAGAATGACTGTGTATTTTGCACTAGCCCATGGCTTTACAGAGCATATTTTTAGGTCTTATACTTACCCCACCCCCTTTCTTATTTATGAGGAAGTCGATATTGAACAAAAGCAAAAAAAAAAAAAAAAAAAAAAAAAAAAAAAAAACAAAAAAAAAAAAAAAAAAAAAAAAAAAAAAACAAAAAAAAAAAACAAAAAAAACCCCTACCTTTATTTTCTATAAGAAGGATTTAAAAATAAGCTTAAAATAATCTATTATTCTACTAATTTTTAACTTATACTTTGCCACAAAATTTTCAAGTATACCTCCACCAACATTTAAAGTATGCTTTAATCATGGCGAAGTAAATTTTGATATGGTAGTACTTGTGTGAAGGCTTAACTTCATTTCAATATTTTATCTAGAGCCTCTTTCAGAATTATTGAAATGTGTAGAGTTTTATTTATATTTTTGCTTTTCATTTATTATTATTATTTTTTTTTTGGTTTTGATTTAACGTAATGTTCTTTCTTTTGGGGGGGGGGGGGGGATAAGAATTTCCTCCTCTTTCATTGTCAAATAGAATTTGCCAGACTTAAGCAAACTAAAAGTTGAAATGAAGTAAAAAAAAAAATCCTATTAAAGCGTATTTAAACCTGATTTTTGCATGGTTTAATTTCTAAAAACAAGTGGAATATCATTCTTTAAGCAAACATTATAAGGAGGAATATTAAAAAGAAATTTTATTTACTTGACAATTAAAGAATCTCTTTTCAAACACAATTTTAGCATTGAAAGACTACGTGAATCTCTTAATTATTTCATACGACTTTTTGTATTTTTCTGGTTACAGAAAATGTAAAAATTAGTTTTGCTGTAAAAAAGATATCAAAAAGTGTATATTTTGTATCACTTTAAAGGGGGTCATTTTTCAATGGGGGTCATTATTTTATAGGACTACCATATAAAATAATGATCCCCTAGGACTCTTTTTCTACAAAAAATGATTTTTTTTCTACGGGTGGGGGTCATTTTTTGTCGTTGAAAAATGACCCCCCGGTCATTATTTGATGGGGGTCATTATTCGTCTTTATACCGGACTTACAAAGGCCCAGCAAGGATTAGCCAATACATGGCCGAGTATAATCAAGTGTCCGTTGAATCTGAGGTCATCCGGGTGTTGATTGGTGGGCAACGGGTATTGGCCGATCATCAGTCGATTTTCGTTGGACAGTAGTCAACCTACATGTACGTACTAACGATATACCAATGTATGAGCTATGTAATATACATCGACTGATTACAATGGAAAATCGTTTTATGATTAGCAATGCATTTCTGGGCCTTTCTTAGTCCGGTGTAACGTTGAATATTGACCAGAGTTGAAAAGTGACCGGGGTTCATTTTTCAACTTTGAATATTGAGCCAGGGGTGTTTTATCTCCGTTGAAAATTGAGAGCAAATGTCGTTGAATTTATACCCTGGATCATTTTTCAACAGCTTGATATTTTTTTTATTACTGATGACCTCAACATGTTGAAAATTGACCCCGTTGAATATTGACTTCGCCATTGGATCAGAATTGGTTTGAATGGTTTCATGGTCAAAATTCCCATGACCCAGCTCAGTTTTCAACGGACTAGGGTCTAAATTCAACACTTTTGGTCTCAGTATTCAACGTTGAACGTTGACCCCCGGTTGACCTCCGGGTCAATTTTCATCCCAGTTCAGATATCAAGGTTACACCGGTGCTCCGGGTGGGTTGCAATATTTGTGTAATTCAGCTGCGCCGAAGCGATTTATGTAAAATACTCAAAGTACTTAATTTAAAAATAAAACTCAGAATCAAACTTGCAATGTAATGTTATGTTTTAAAGCTATGTGTATAGATTTTAAAAATATACTTGATTAAAAATTCTCGTTACTTTTGATGACTGAATCCAACCTCCTTAAACTATTATTTATTATGAATTGTCGACAGAATTTTTCAGTTTTTTCCTGATCATGACAAGGAGCACCCGACGAATGTGACTGGCTCATCGAGGGATGCTCACTCCTCCATGTCAAATGATCCCGTCCTTGATGTTTAAATGTCTGTGTTTGCTCTGATCCTGATATGTATTGTTCAAGCTTTTGAGCTTTAAAGGTGCATGAACACAGATTTGAACAAGATTTTCTCTTTTCCCTAGCATTACGAAAAAAAGTAAAATTTGTGAGAGTGCAAGGATGTGTTAATCAAACCTGTCTGAAAATCTGAAGTTTAAATAACTTTTAGATGAAATAAAATTTTTGATACATTTTTGTGTGAAATGCTGTTAAAATACATAAGTTGTGATATTATACAGAAGGATATGGAGGTAACGAAAATATTAACTTCAAATCTGTGCACCTTTAATAATGTTTGTTATCTTTATGTATCCATGTTTAACCTTTTTTTATCGTGGATATGACTCATTGATTTTTCTAATATCTCTCTGTTATTTCGTTTGCGTGATGAAGTTTTAGTGGTCTTATTTGAAATAGTGTAAAACATTTGTTGTGAAGTTTGAAACACAGAATAAAAAAAATTCTCATGAATTATAGTTGGAAATGACTCTTATTCTATTCGTTGTGCTTTTTATCCTCTCACCAAAACTGGAGATATAAAAAAACCACACAACCAGCTGGATAAATACCATATCCCACTGCAGATCCTATATATACATGTATTTCATCACCATGCAAAAGTTTTACTGCTAAATGTACATAAAGGAATGAGAAAAAAATTATCTAATTGGTTTCATGCCAACTTTGGTTTAAGTTCCCCTGTGTTCCAAGTTTTGCATGAAAAATAACTTAGACAAAGACTGCGTTTGCCATTTATTTTGTTCATTGATATTACAGTGATTTTAATGTGAATAAGAAGAATTCTAAGAAGTTAAAGTTTACATAATTATTGAGTTTGCAAGATTTCAGAATTTTCTGAATATTTTAGACATAGCCCTTCTTCTTCATCACATAATTTTATATAGATAACATATCGAGGTATTTAAATTTCAATAATTCAGAAAACAAAATATACAAAGAATCTTAATGACATTTAGTGTACATAAAAATAATCTTATTGAATCCTCACAATTCAAAATAGCACTAAAGTTTGAGATAATAATGTGACATAATAATCTTTTCTTCATTTAACATTTCCTACTAAACAACATCAAGAAAATTCAGTATGAAAAAGTCAGAGAAGCTTGTAGAGGCCTCGTTAGCAGTGCAACATATGCAATATGAACCAATCCAAGTGGAAGGACATGGACACAACACCAATCCATAAATTGATCCATAAACAGGAACCACTTCAAACCTGCAATAAAGAGTACACGTCAACTGAGATACTGTCACACGAAACAAAAAAGCATATTAAAGTGGGCTGAAACAATTTCTTACAAGATCTGGAAATTCAACAAGAGGCCCATGGGCCTTATATGTCACCTGAGTATCATGAATGAATTTTCAGACAATTGAATTTGGTTCGTGTTTTTTTTTTAAAAATCAAAGACCATGAAAATTTATAGTTTTTAAAGAGACACCATTGTTCATCATAATTGCACCTTATGGGTCACCTTAAGGTGCAGAATAGTCCGGGGTTTCTTGACAATACGCTGTACATATGTAGTCATGGATCATAAAAGGGAGGGGCACTAACTTTTCCAAACCTGCAAAACAGAATAAATATATACATTTAAGCAGTTGTCTTCGAAAACCCCGACTAAATATGCAAACACTTCTTTGAACATTAAGATATTTTAAGGTGAGATTTTTGTAATCTAAAATACTGACTATTCATGGTAATCTCAAGACCTACATTAAACTAAGATTCGTATTCCTGTACATCTAACAGGTTTTTTTCTATCTCAGATGTGATTCACTATCATTTTTCTAACCTAGATAACAAATTATTAGTTTTACTAATTTGTTGATCTAGATTTATTTTGTACTTTATCTTGTGGTTTTAAGGAAACTATGAAATCTCCAAGTATGTAAATCATCTTAGTTTTGCGCACACGTAAGCGTTCTAATTCTGTGGTTTGTTGTGCAGTTGGAATAATCTGCCTACCTTAATTAGGAGTATTGATATTTGTAGAACATAACAATTATTCTTTATAAAATATTATGGCAAGAGGGATTTAAAATCTTATTGCCATGTATGTATGTAATGAAAACACTAAACATATAAGGGATATGTTGGGACACTATTATTACATGATCTTGTTTTTGCTGAATTTCATTAAAAATTATACACGAGGGAAAAAAGGCTAAGTTAGTAACACACAGATTTCATTGAATACACTCATCTCTTTGTGTAGATGTTATCTAGACCAAAAGTATACTATTCATCAAATAAAAACACTATACTACATAGTTCCTATGTAAACCAAACCTATTTTAACCTCATTTTCAGAGGTCTTCTGCTCTTCAACATCCCAGCCATTAGAACAATGCTTACAAAATAATTTTACGAATGAAATGGATAGAAAATAGTTACCCTTAAGAGTCACCTTAAGGTGCAAGATAGTCCGAGGTTTCTTGACCAAACGCTGAACAAATGTAGTCATGGATCATAGATGGGAATTACACGAACTCGTCCAAACCTGCAAATCAGAACATATAAACACTGAAACAGTTGTCTTTGAAAACTCCAAAAATTGCTTTTTTTTAATTTGTCGCCTATATATTCCAATACTTCTTTGAACATTAATATATTTTAGAGTGGGATTTTTGTAATATAAGACACTGACTATGCATGGTAATCTCAAAAACTTCATCTATTTTGTGGTCATTTTATTTAATCTGCCTACAGTTCATAAATAATATCAAACAAAATCTATAGTATATTATTCTAAAAAAAAATAATAACATATCATTTAGCAAGCCAATCAAATAAAAAGTTTCTTTTAACATATACTTCCCTCTATTGTGGCAAAGGAAGGTTATTACTGTTTGACAAAACTATAAACGTTGTTGTTAACCTTTTTTTCTCTGCAATAAAAGACGGATATTCTATCTCGGAAATGAAATAATTGAACAAAACGCATACTTTTTACATGTACAAAAAGCATTATCCATTAATTCATAGAGTATCCCTCATTTTTTAAGGTCTTAAAGAAAGTGTTACATCTGTATATGAAAAACCTTGATTATAAAAATAATGAGAAAACTTTTTCAAGTATAGCTTCGTATTTCCTGTAAATATAACAGTGTATCTATCTTAGATCTGTGTTAAAATCATTTCTTCTATCCTAGATAACAATTTGTTATTTTTACTTTTTTGTTGATGTAGATTCATTTTGTAGTTTATCTTGAGGCTTTAAATGTACGATCGAATCTCAAAGCTGTGTAAAATTTTTTTTTTAATATGTAAACGATCTAATACCGTCGATTGTTTGGAGCAGTTGGAGTTATATGCCCTTAGACCTTAAGTAAGCGATATAATATTTATAGTACCTCACTATATTCTTTATAAAATATTGCGACAAGAAAAAGATATTGAAATTCTTAATGTAAAGTGTACCCTACTTAAGAGAGCAGCAATGATATATTTGTTGAATGGCAACATTATCCTTATTTGGAAATGTTTGCTCCTCAGTGTAATCCTTATTGACTAAGAACACAAGGACAAATTATATATTATGCGTTTACATTTTCAAATTAATATATGTGCAAAAACGTTGTTTCTTTATTGATAAGGAATTCTAAAGATTAAATAAAATGTTATAAGTTCTACATGTATATAATGAAAAACACTGAAGATTAAATGGATGTGTTTGGAAACTCTTATATCAATGATTTTATATTTGTTGTTTATCTTAAAAACTTATACATACGAACAGGAAACCTGGGCATGTACTGCAATGTTTGTATTGAAGGCACTTATCTCTGTTATTTAGACCAAAAGCATACTATTCATCTGATACAGACCCTATATTATAGAGTTCCTATATAAACCAAAACACTTCAAACTTCATTTCTAAATGTCATCTGCCCTTTAACATGCAAGTTCGTTGTACAATGCTTACAAAATAATTTTACGAATGAAAAGGAGAGAAAATAGTTACCCTGAAGGGTCACACAATACTGTTCGTTATCTCCATATTCTTTTCTCCATTTGCTGCATATCATAAAAAATTAAAGACGAGGAAAAAAAATGGCTAAGTAGGTACCGCATAATTTGAATTGAAGGCACTCATCTTTTACAACTAATACAAACAGTAGACTAGAGATATTCTTTGTAAACCAAACCCATGTAAACCTCATTTCGAAAGATCTTCTGCCCTTCAACATGCAGGCACATAGTACAATGCTTACAAAATAATTGTATGAATAACAAAGATAGAAAATAGTTACCCTGAAGAGTCACCTTAAGGTGCAGGATAGTCCGGGGTTTTTTGACCAAACACTGTAGTCATGGATCATACAAGGAAAGGACTCCAACTCGTCCATACCTGCAAAACAGAATATATATACATTTAGGCATTTATTTCTTAAAAATTCAAGAATTGCTTTTTTATTTGTTGACTAAATATTCCAATACTAGACTTCTTCGAAAATGAACATATTTTAAGGTGAGATTTTCTTAATATAAGACACTGACTATTCGTGGTAATCTCAAAAACTACATCTATTTTGTGGTCATTTATTTTTATCTGCCCCAGTTCATAAATAATATTAATCAATTTTTTCAGTAAACTATTCTTTAAAAAAGTCACAAATAACATATCATTTAGCGAGCCAATCAAATAAAAAGTGCTTATTACATACACTTCCCTTTATTGTGGTAAGGGAAGGTTCTTAGTGATGAAAAAAAGCTATAAACATTGTTTTCAACTGTTTTTCTCTGTAGTAAATGACGGATAGTCTATCGTGGAAATAAAATAATTGAACATAACACATTCTTTTTCTACATGTACAAAAAGCATTAATCATTGATGCATAGAGTATCCCTAATTTTTCAAAGTTTTAAAGAAAGTTATAAATGCAACTGTATGTGAAATACCTTGATTATTGAAATAAAGGGAAAACTCTTTCAAAATATAGATTAGTATTTCCTGAAAATCTAAGAGTTTTTCGATCTGAGATGTGATATAAAATTATTTTGTAGCCCAGATAACAATTTGTTATTCTTACTTTTTCTTGATCTAGATTTAATTGTTCTTTATGTTGTGGTTTTAAAAGTACTATCGAATCTTCAAACTGTGTAAGAAATCTTTGTTTTGAGCACATGTAAGCTTTCTAATTCTGTTGTTTATTGTGCAGTTGGAGTTATCTGCCTTTAGACCTAAAGTAGGAGTATTGATAATTATAGTCCATAACAATTATTCTTTTAAAATATGATGACAAAATAATTAGATTTAAAATCCATTGTCATCTTTATTTTCTACATGTACCTACGAGAACAGCAATGCTTTCTTTCTCTCGTGGCAACAATTTCCTTGTTTTTGAAATGCGTAAAGGAAATTTAGGAAATTCCTAAATGTAAGCTCTAGTGACTAAGTTCACAGGTTCAAAGCATATATTGTCTGTATACTTTTTAAATTTAATGAATATACAAATACATTGTTTATTAATAGATAGAAAATACTCAGGATTATAAAATATACAAGACGCCGTGCATGTATATAATAAAAAACGGAGGTTTTGAGGGATATGTTGGGACACTATTATTACATGATTTTCTATTTGCTGTGTATCAAAAAAATAAAGACGAGAAAAAAAGACTATAAATGCACCGCACAGTGTGCATTGGAGGCACTCGTCTCTTTGTGTAGCAGTTAAGTAGACCAAAAGCATACTATTTAACTAATACAACCTCTATACTAGAGAGTTTCTCTTGAACCAAACCCTAGTTACCCTGAAGAGTCACCTGAAGGTGCAGGATGGTCCGGGGTTTCTTGACCAAACACTGTAGTCATGGATCATACAAGGAAAGCACTCCAACTCGTCCAAACCTGCAAAACAGAATAAATATACATTTAGTTATTTTTTAAAACTCCAACAATGGCTTTTTTCATTTGTCGACTAAATTTTCAAATACTTCTTTGAACATGAAGGTATTTTCGTGAGATTTTCGGAATCTAAGACACTGACAATTCATGGTTATCTAAAAAAAACTACATCTATTTTGTTGTCATTTATTTTTTTCTGCCATCACTTAATAAAAAGTATTTATCAAAATCTTCAGTATATTATTCTTAAAATAAAATAAAAAACACTTATGACATATCATTAGGCAAGCAAATCAAATAAAAAGTTTTCCACAATATATTTCACCCTTTTGTGGTAAAAGAAGGTTATTCTTCTATCAAAACTATAAAAAAAATTCAACCTTTTTTTCTCTATAGGAAAAGACGAATATTCTATCGTGGGAATGAAATATTTGAACATAACACATACTTTTTCTACATGTACAAAAAGCATCAATCATTAAAAAATAGAATATCTCTAATTTTTCAAAGATTTAAACATAGTTTTGATAGCATCTGTATATGAAAACCGTTATTATTGAAATGAAAAGGAAAACTCTTTCAAAATATAGATTTATGTTTCCTATACATCTAACAGATTTTCTATCTAAGATGTGATTTAAAATAATTTTTTGTAGCCGAGATAACATTTTGTTATTTGAATATTTTCTTGATCTAGATTTAATTGTTCTTTATGTTGTGGTTTTAAAAGTACTATTGAATCTTCAAGCTGTGTAAGAAATCTTTGTTTTGAGCACATGTAAGCTTTCTAATTCTGTTGTTTATTGTGCAATTGTAGTTATCTGTCCTTAGACCTAAAGTAAGAGCATTGATAATCAATTATTTCTTTTAAAATATGATGACTAAATAATTAGGTTTAAAATCTTATTGTCATCTTTGTTTCCTACCTAAGAGTATAGCAATGCTTTCTTTCTTGTGTGGCAACAATTTCCTTGTTTTGAAAATGCTTGTTCCTCAATGTAAGCCCTAGTGACAACGTTCACAAGTGCAAAACATATATTGTCTGTATACTTTTTAAATTAAATGAATGTGCTTAAACATTTTTCATTAATAGATAGAGAATACCCAAGATTATAAAATATGCAAGAAGATGTGCATGTATATAATAAAAAACCTCAGGATTTAAGGGATATGTTGTGACATTATTATTACATGATTTTCTATTTGCTGCATATCATATAAAAAATATACATGAGAACAGAAAATGCTAAGCATGCAATGCACAGTTTACATTGAAGGCACTTAAATCTTCGATTAGATATTATCTATACCAAAACCATACTATTAATGCAATGCAAACCTGATTATAGGGAGTTTTTATAATAACCAAAACTATTTAACCTCATTTCAAAAGTTTTTCGGCTCAACCACATACCAGAAAATATTAGGTTACAAAATGATTACAAAATGCTTACAAAATAATTTTTGGAATGAAAAGGATAGAAAAAAGTTACCCTGAGGAGTCAACTTAAGGTGCAAGATAGTCCGGGGTTTCTTGACCAAACACCGTAGTCATGGATCATACAAGAAAAGGACTCCAACTCGCCCAATCCTGCAAAGCAGAATATATATATATACATTTAAACAGTTATTTTTAAAAACTCAAAGAATTGCTTTTTTCATTTGTCGACTTATATCCCATTACTTCTTTGATCATGAAGGTATTTTAGGTGAGATTTTCGTAATATAAAACACTGACTATTCATGGTAATCTCAAAAACAACATCTATTTTGTTGTCATTTATTTTAATCTGCCTACAGTTCATCAATGGTATTAATCTAATTCTTCATTATATTATTTTAAAAATAAAAAAAATCTCAAATAACATATCATTAGGCAAGCAGATCAAAGAATGTTTCTTACCCATAAATTTGCCTTTATTGTGGTAAAGGAAATCTATTATTGATAATCAAAGCTATAAACATTGTTTTCAACCTTTATCTCTCTGTAGTAAATGACGCATAGTCTATCGTGGAAATGAAACAATTGTACATAACACATACTCTTTCTATATGTTCAAAAACATTAATCATTTATGCATAGAGCAACCCTAATTTTTCAAAGTTTTAAAGAAAATTTTCGTAGCATATGTTTGTGAAAACCCTTGATTATTGAAATGAAGAGAAAATCTCTTTCAAAACTTTAAATCTAACAGTTTTTCTATCTGAGATGTGATTTAAAATCATTTTGTAGCCTAGATAACAATTTGTTATTTTTACGATTTTGTTGATGTAGATTTATTTTTTACTATATCTGGTGGTTTTAAAAGCACTATCTAATCTGCAGGCTGTGTAAACATATTAGTTTTGTGCACATGTACGTGTTCTAATTCTCTGCTTTATTGCAGTTGGAGTTATCTGCCCTTAGACTTAAAGAAGGAGTATTGATTTTTATAGTACATTACAATTATTCCTTTAAAAATATGATGACATGATAATTAGATTTAAAATGTTAGTGTCATTTATGTTCCCTATTTTAGAGAGCAGCAATGCTTTATTTGTTGCATGGCAACATTATCCTTATTTGGAAATGCCTGCTCCTCTATGTAAACCCTATTGACTAAGTACACAATATATAGTATGTGTATACTTTTTTAAATATATGTGAAAAAATATTGTTCATTTATTGATAAAGAATTCGTAAAATCAAATAATATTTTATAAGCTTTTCATGTATAAAATAAGTCTCATTTGAAAGGTCTTCTTCATACCAACACATAGTACAATGCTTACAAATGAATTTACGAACGAAAAGGATAGGAAATAGTTACCCTGAAGAGTCACCTTAAGGTGCAGGATAGTCCGAGGTTTCTTGACCAAACACTGTAGTCATGGATCACACAAGGAAAGGACTCAAACTCATCCAAAACTGCAAAACAGAATACATACATTTAGCCAGTTGTTTTTGAAAACTTCTAGAATTGCTTTTTATATAATTTATCAACTTATTATCCTCAACTGTCTCATTTGTCTCTGAACATATCTCTGAAGATATTCTGAGGTGAGTTTGTCGTAATCTGACTCTGATTATTTATGGTAATCTCAAAATTAACAATCATTTCGTTTTCATTTATTTTAATCTGCCCACATATCTTAAATACTATTAATAAAATGTACAGTATATTATTCAAAACGTTTTGTAAAAAGTCAATCATTCATTACATATCATTTGGAAAGACTATAAAAGTTTTTTTAACATATATCTCCTCTTATTATTTTTTTGATGAAAGTTATTATTGAAAAACAAAACTTCATGGTTTTCAACCTTTTTTCTCTGTAGTGAACGACAGATATTCTATCGTGGAAATAATTGATCATAAGCATACCTTTTTCTCTTTGAAAAAAATATTAGTCATTTTTGCGCATAATTTTTCCAAGTTTTAAGGAAAGTGTTTGATGCATCTTCAAATAAAAAACCTCTATTGAAACGAAGAAAAAAAACCCCATTTTTTTCAATATAGATTCGTATTTCCTGAAAATCTAACAGTTTATCTATCTGAGATATGTGTTAAAATCATTTTTCTAACCTAGATAACAATTTGTTATTTTTAATTTTTGTTCTTAGATTAATTTTATACTTTATCCTGCGGTTTTAAATGTACTAACGAATCCCCAGGTTTGTTTAGGATCTCAACACAATGCACATGTAAGCGTTCTAATTCTGTGGGATGTTTGTGCAGTTGAGGTTATCCGCCCTTTGATCTGAAGTAGGGGAATTGATATTTATAGTACGTTACAATTTTTCTATACAAAATACATGTATTACGGCAAGATTAAGTGATTAAAAAGTCTGTCATGTATGTTTAAGAAGGGAATAAGGATTTCTTTGTTGTCTGACTATTCACGATGCTTTCAAAAAGTGTGGATTTAGTTTAATTTGGCCCTGGATCTAAAAAAAAATTACAGGTTCCTCAAAGTAAACCTTAGTGATAACAAAGTGCTTAAGTGCAAATAGATATATTGTTTGCATAACCTTTAAATTCTTAACCCCATGATCCCTATTTTTGGAACATTGTGATATGTTTGGGTATCATTCCCCTTTTATATATAAAAATAATAACCACGTCTGTTTATGAGCACTCAGAATGTTTTTCAACCTTTTTTTTCTCTAAATTATATGAACGATTCCTTGTATGTTTTCAAATATATTTAACCTACTTTGGTAATAAGCGACCATTTCTGTACATAAACACACCCAAATATTGTTTTCAACTTGTTTCTCTTCATTAAATAAACGACATTTATATATTAGAAATGATATTGTTAAACACATCTTTTACTTTTTCTCTATGTACAAAACGCTTTTATCATAAGCGCTTTGAAAATTCATAATATTTCAAAGTTTAAAACAAAGTGTTAGATGCTTCTGTATATTGTTATTTCAACTGGAATTTTTGGGTTAATTTATATTAATTGTTCATTCATCTTTGTTGTTTAAAAAGTTGTAACAATTGCACTGTGAAAGATCCAAGTTTAGTGCATACTTAAAATTGTAATTCTGTAGTGTTTTTGAGCATTTTGAGTTATCCGCCCTTAGTCCTTAAATTCAAGGATTTAAACATAGACTTTACAAAACATTAAGGCAAGGGAAATTGATTTAAATCTCAATAGTCATGTATTTTCCATATTTAAGAAAGCAACAGTTATTTCCTTGTTGTTTGTGGAAACAGTTTCCTTATTTGCAAGTGCAGCCTACCCAAAATAAAATCAAGTGAAAAGTCAGTTGACAAGTGCAAAAAGTATTTCATTTGTGCACTTTTTAAAATTCTATAAATGTGCAAAAAATGTTGTTCATTTATTGATAGAAAATACATTAGATTGTGCAATGTGTCGAAGCTGTGAATATATATAATGAAAACATTGAAGGTAAAATGTATAATTTGGCAAAATCTTATAAAATTAATTAGTATTAATACGTCTTACAGTTATTACACGAGAACAGAGAAGGTTGTGCATGTATTGCATATTGTGCTATGAAATTATTATTTTGTTTAAGGAAATGAAAACTAGGACAAATAGCATACAATAAAGCCCATTCAAACATTACTCCAAGAGAGCTCCCCTGAATATCAAAATTATTTCAGTTTCGCTTTAGAAGGTATTCCTCTCCTCAATTGGCAACACAAAGTATAATGCTATTACATATTTTTAAAAATTCTTGAAAAAGATAGAAAATATGTACCTCGAAAAACATCATCCCAGAAATAAGCAGAAAACCACTTGTACCTAGATCAAGCACTCTAGTTATGGAAAATACAGAGGAAGGACAAGAACTCGTACAAACCTACAACAAAGAATACAGACAATAAGGGAACGTTTCTACAAAGAGGAAAAAATCATCCCCTGGCTTTAAAAAACAACTTTTATTTTTACCAGATCTTAAAATCTGATTCACTGGACATAAAGTTTTCCAAACAACCAGCCTCAGAAATGTCCTGCCAAGGACAGTGTGAACCATGAACTTAAGGGCTCATCTGTAAAAAAAAAAAAATAAAAAATAAAAAAAATAATAATAAAAAAAAAAACATCAAAGACCTTTAATCAGTGAACACGAAAACGTTTAATTCTGTGATTTTTTGTGTAAGAATTTAAACCAGAACTAAAATTAATCGAAATGTCTTGTACCTCAAAGTAAACTCTAGTGGAAACTAAGTAGACATGTTCAAAATTTACATTAAATATACTTTAAAATCATAAAGTGTCAAAACACTGTTCATCAATGTCTGATGGATATTTTACATTAAATAATATATTTGATGTGCATCAAAAATTAAGGTTGACGAAAATTATAGAAATTTGTGTTTTCTTTTCGTGCATGGTCCAAAATTATTGCACGAGATGAGAAAAGGATATGCATGTAAATCACTTTTCTAAAATACTCATATAAGTTATAAAGTTTACTCACATCTATTGTGTCCTTCTTTCATTTCGTACAAAACAAGCCACCAGTAAGGTTGATTGTGTAAAATTATTTAAATTTTCAAAGAAAAAGAAATCATCACTGTGCATTTAATTAAAACGAATCTTGATTAAGTAGTTACAGCACAACTCATCATAGCAAGTATGACTTTTTAAACATGAAAGTGACCAAAATTTATTTTTAAAAACATTTAGCATAAAATCTATAGGTTCTTTGGTTCTCATGTCTTAATCAACATTATTTTGACCCACTCTACCCGTGTGAGGATGATCTGAACAGAATTAATTCTAAACAGTTTCATTTTTATGGAAAAATGCAGACAAAATGACATAGAAAAGCTCACTTGAGCTTTTAGATCAAAATAGCTTCAAACTTTAAAACAAATAACATGTTAAATAACAACAGATCTAAAATAGTTAAATTGTCCACGAAAAAAATAAGGGAATAAGGAGAACTATAGAAAATTTGTATGAAAATAGCATCATCAACTAAGAGTAAACTATACCTATCTTTATATTATGTTTACTTACGAAAGTTAAACAAAGTAAACCATTTTTACTTAAGTACACCAAAACCAATGAATTTAGCTATGACGTAGAGTTTATGATATGATATAATTTTCAAATAAGATAATCTAAAATAGAAAAGAAAGAATATTCCATATGATGAGTAATTTCCACAAACACAAGTGTTGATATTATATTTGCATTTAAACAAAGAGTTCTAAATATTCACATTAAATCAAAATTCTTAAAGATATACGCAACGTGTAATATAAGAATTCAAATGAATATTCTACGCTTAGTATTTTATTTTACTTTATTCCAAAACAAAAGAAGGAATGTTCAGCTGAAAATATATATTTTATAATGTAAGCATAATTTTAATTAAAAAAGATTTCTACATTGTATCTATTGACATAAAACCCAATAATAATTGCTGAATTTTAGTTAATGAACATCTGATAAATGTGTTTCAACTTATAACCCCCCCCCCCCCCCAAAAAAAAGCAGAATGTAAAGTACGTTGCGTATATCCTTAAAACATATTTTGCATTTTTATGATGATTTAATTGTTAATGTCAGGGAGACATATTTCTCTGTCATATTCAGCTTTAAAGTAAATTGCAGCTGCTTCAAATATTTTGTCCTTACTACGGACACAAAATGACAGGTCATTAGAAAATTTCAAATCAAATTCAGCCATTGAAATGATGATTGCTACATCAGCACAATCATCGATTAGTGGTACCATTAAATCTAATATACCAATTGACTTCTTGTTTTCTTGGTGATTACTGTCACCACTAAGACTTCTAACAAATTTCAAGTTTGTAAATGTTTGATTATGTGAAGCCTTGTTTACTAATTTAACGCTTTGATCATTTGGCTTATTCAAAAAATAGAAAGTTAATGTATTTTCGTCAAGGTCTAAACTACGTTGTTGTCTAAGTTTGATGTTATTTTCATCAACAAATATAATCTTCTTATACATAAACGACGAGGTTTGACCAACAGATAAATTTCTAATGTAAAAGTCGCCCTCTTCAAAATTTCTAAATGTAGGTGGTGCAGATCCACATGCAATGATGTTGATTTCGATCTGATAAACTTTGAAAAAATAATATTTCGCCATATATATAATTTTCTTTTTGCACATGACATTTATTTGTAGTTCACGATCTGGATTATTAAGTATTATTTTGGCTAGCTCAATAATGATGGGGACAGCTACCGAATTTACATTTTCACTTTCTGGAATTCCTATAATTGTAAGTAGGTCTGATTTTTTTAAATCTATAATATCCCGAGCAGTTTCTCTACTGACTCTATTATCATAAACATTATTTTCTGTTCTCGTATCTTCACTAGGACTTTGAATAAAGATATTTTGTAACCATTTCTGTCTACTTGAAGCAAATAGCACAAAATGGCCATCAA